ATATCCATTCTTGCATAATAGGAGTAACCTTAAAGTAAGTGTGGCCTTTCTCCTAAAACTCCAAAATTACAGCATCAATGTATTCATCATACACTTCTTACTGACAGACAGAAGATAACAGAAATCATGCTTCACATTTAAATTCTAAAGGGTTGCCAGAGATTAATAGTGCGCTCCTGTCAAAAACTGTTTTTATTAATTACTATGAGTGTTTTTATTACTACTAGTTCTCATGTACTTACCCAGCATTCTGGATTCTGCTTACTGAAGCAATCTTTTCCAAGACCCAGTCAGCGTTCTCTGTTGAACCTATCTGCCAGGAATGTTTATCCATATATTCACCTGACAACTCAACATCTGGCTACTATCAAAATTCACTCTTCCATTTAAAAGAAGATAACCTTCAAAACTGACATGCATTTAGCTACATCTGTCTGGATCTTTTTGCAATTTCCTTTCCCATGCTTTCTAAAGCCCAACAGCCACTTTCTCTCCTGCCCAAGGCCACTCCATCACTAAGCACCATCTTTGGGAAAGCTCCACATCCAATTCAGTCTTGCACAGTGAGATAATATCATGCAGTGATTACAATGGAGTTGGTTTATTAACTGGGATGGTGTCATTGACCAGATTAACCCAGTTCTTAGCTTTCTTCCAACAATGTTTATCTGAGTCAAAAAAGAAATACATGACAGAAGGCAGTGTAGATGGAAGTATTTAAGGAGGGCAGGTTTCTTCCCAAGAGCCAAAAAAATCTTTGGAGGCTTTCAATGGGTATCGAAGAAGTAAACCATCGTGGTAATCTTGATTCTCCACTAAAATGTGATTCTGAATACTGATCTTGGCAGTGCTTATTATAGATTTCTCCACTTCTAGATGACTCAATGCCTTAAGGGCATTTGGGATTGGAAAGGACCATTAGCTCTTCTTCATCTTCTATCATCAACAGGGTAATTCTTTCATATGTCCTTGAGCAGTTCTCACTTACATGACTCATATCACTTTTTCCAAACCCTCATAACTGCACAACACTCAGTATTACACCAAAAACTTGGGGCAGAACTTTGAAGCTGACTTCACCATTTCTTTCATGACTTACTGTATAACTTCAGGCAAGTTATATAAACTTCATGTGTCTCAGTTTTCTCTTCTTAAATGTTGATAGCAGAGTTTTTTGGATCAATTTATTGATACATTTAAAACAGACCTTGACGTATAGCAAGTATTCAATTATGTTATCTATTAATTTTTTTCTGACAAATGCCCTATTCCTCCTCCATCAAACATCACTTTTAAAAAAAAAAAATGGCCTTATTAATTACTTCACGGTTAACATAGGTTAACATACCTGAACTCTCTCATATGGTTATCCTTCTTTTTCTGCTGATTTAACCTCTACCGTTCTTCCTTTTTGTCTCCCATCTTAGGATTATTCCTCCACCAAAGAATGATTAATCCTTTTGTGTGCCAGATAGTATCCTCCAGAACCTTGTTAATTTATTATGCCCTCTTACAAATATCCTCAACATTTTCTTCTTCCATGACTCTTTAATTCTGGCCCAAAATATGTTCACATTTCTTTTTTTTTTTTTTAATTCTGTAGTACAACCATTTTGGAAGACAACTTGGCAGTTCTTACAAAGCTAATCATGGTCTTAAAATACAATCGAGCAATTGTACTCCTAGGTTTTTAACCAAAAGAGTTAAAAACTTACATCCACACCAAAACCTGTATATGAATGTTTGTAACATCTTTATTCATAATTACCAAAAATTGAAAGCAACTGAGATATCCTTCATTAGATGAACAGATAAACTATGGTACATCTATACAATGAAATATTGATCAGCAATAAGAAGAAGTGAGCTATCAAGGCACAAAAAGACATAGGGGAAACTTAAATACATTTTACTAAGTGAAAGAAGCCAATCTGGAAAGGCTATATACTATATGATTTCAACTATATGACATTCTGGAAAAGGTAAAACTATAGAGACAGTAAAAAGGTTAGTGTTTGCCAAGGATTAGGGAGGAAGGATAGGTAGAACACAGGATTTTTTAGGGCATGAAACTATTCTATATAATTTATAATGATGGATGTGTGACATTATTTGGCAAAATCTGTACAACGGTACAACAGATAAAATGAACTTTAAACTATGGATTTAGTTAATAATATATCAATATTGGCTCACCAATAATAACAAATGTACCACACAAATGTAAGTTTGTTAATAATAGAAGAAACTAGGGGCACCTGGGTGGCTCGGTTGGTTAAGCGTCTGACTCTTGATTTCGGCTCAGGTCATGATTTCAGGGTTGTGGGATCAAGCCCTGCATTGGGCTCCACACTCAGCAGGGAGTCTGAGATTCTCTTTCTCTGTAGCCCCCCTTTTTCTCTCTCTAAGATAAATAAATAAATCTTTAAAAAATAATAATAATAGAAGAAACTGGACTGGAAGAGAGAGAATATATGAGAACTAGCTGTATTTTTGGTTTAATTTTTCTGTAAACCTAAAACTGCTTTAAGAAATAAAGTTTATTAATAATTTTTAAAACCTTAAGCTTTATCTATATCCTTTCACAATAGCACCTAGATTAGTATTTGATTAACTGCTAGAAGGTATATATATATACCAGGGGTAGGAATCTTGGGGGCCATCTTAGAACTCTGCCTATCCTACTATCCTATCCTATGCTGTCCACTCTCAACAACATCCTTTGTGGCAATAGACTAAAGTTGGTGACCCCTAGATTTGTAAATTGGGCTTTTTTTTTTCCTCTTTCCATATAGTTGCCTGGATTACTTTAACTACTTCCATGGTTTCAACTACTTTTTTTTTCTTATAGTGTTAACCACTGTAAAATTGATCTATCCTACCTATTTAACTTTTCTGAACCTCATATCCATATTTCTAGCTGCCTCTTCATGATATCCATTGACATTTCCAATAGAGACTTAAGGAAAATTCATTAATGCTCCTATAGACACACCTAAAATAAGAACATAAGTCTCCCTGTCAACCCTTTCTGTCTTCAAATGAGATCATCATTTACTCAGTTGCTCAAAACAGAAAACTTAGAGCTTTGCTTGGTATTTATTGAAGGCTTAGTATAGATTAGAGACTCTCTTAAATTTTGTACAAGTATTAACATTTAATCCTCACACAACATCTCTATGGGAAAAATACAATTATTTGGAAACCTTGGTCAAGAACCTTTCCCAGGATCTTATATCTAGGACAAGGTGGTGCTAGAGACAAAACTGTCAGATTCAAGATCTAAGCTCTTAACCACTGTACTATTTTTCTTTCCCCATGCCCACCTGGTTATCAAATCTCACTAATTATACCTCGGCAATATCATTCAAATTTATCTCCTTATTTCTAGCTCTGCTTTCATGGCCTTGGTTCTGCATCTCATGAAATATTTCCCTAATCTCCGGACTGGGATTCCCAACTACAACGCTTGTTTATTTAAAAGGATGTCTACATCCCAGTCATATCAATTACACTTAAATGGAAACAAAGGTTTTTACTGCCCTACTTAAAGTTTTCTTACCCAAACTTTGTAGCTTGCCATACAAAACCTTTCTCCATTCAATCCTGCCCATATTTTCCATCTTGTCCCTTTGTATATAAGTGAATCTGTGTCATGTCTCCCATGGTACCCTTTTCTGTACATGTTTATATTTTCAATGCTGTGAGTTCCCTAAGCACAGCAATCTATATAGCATAGTACTGGGCATATAAAATGGACTCAATAAATATGCACTGAGTAAACTGTATTTAGAATCTATTTTTCCTTGTTTCAAAAATTCCCATTAAAAGATTACTTCAAGAAACTAAATGGATAATTTTGTGACTAAAAATACCAATATATACCATATAATTCTCTCTATATGGAGTAGATGCACATGTAGTTAATTACACAGGAAATATTTCTATCTGGTGAGATCAGGCCCTGGGGTCTCATTCCCTATTTCATGTATTACATCAGTATCTTTGTTCAAACAGTTATGTGACTACATTTGTTTGTTTGCAGGTAGTTGGGTCCACAGCAATGGTTTTCTACTCCAACTGCTTCATCTCCACCCCTATTTGTATTGCTGCTAGATGAAACACCTAACAGTAACCCATCTATAAACTATATAGACATTTGACTATGACAACTGAAGGAAAATGGCAGCTATCAATGAAATGAACAGGATCACCCAAGTACATTCATGGGCTATAATAAACAGCATTTCCTAAAAGCATGATTCAGATGTCCTTTCTCAAGTTATAATTAACTGATACCCACAACTGGTTAGTTTGTGGATATTCCTGCTTTAGCAAAATAAGGTTAATTTCTTGTGGTTACCATTTTAAAATAAATTCTCACATCAGAAAACTTTCAAGCTTTCTCTGCCTTGCCAAGCTTGCTCTCTTCCTTGTTTACACTTCTAATAATTTTCATGTGCTCCTTCTGCTAAAACCCAAGGGTGGACTCCTGACCTCCTTGCTAGAGGTGCGAATGATGCCAGGGTTAGTGAGTGTTCTGCGGTTTCCCAAAGCTCCTCCTCCCTAGACCGTGACAATTCTTCGGATGCTGAGGTTGGGAAGCAGGACAGGGGACAGTCCTGGGGTGCAGCTCGAATCCTTGGGGGTTGAAGAGGTGCGAGGGGATCAGCGTGCAATGCGGAGTGTGGACCTCTTGGGCCATCCTGCTGCTGTCCCCAGCTCTGCTCTTCCGCCCGACCGGCCCGCGCGGGCCGCTGTCCACAGTGGGAGGTACTGAAAGCAAGGAGCGGGCGCGGGGGCGGCGAGGCGGACAGCTCCTCCGAGCGCCCCCCTCCTCGCTCCGCGGCTCCTCCAGCCCTCCCCTCCTCCCGCAGCCATGTTCCACGCGCGGGGAGGGGCGGGGGAAGGGGAGAGGGACGGGGGATCAGGGCGGAGAGAGCCGGCTCTGCCTCAGGGAAGGAGGGGATGAGAGTTGGGGAGAGCAGCAGGAGGAGGAGGAGGCGGCGGCGGCGGCTAGCGAGGAGCCAGCGCTGGGTCCTGCAGTAGGACTCCCAGGAGCCACCATCATGGTGAAGAGGAAGAGCTCCGAGGGCCAGGAGCAGGACAGCGGCCGCGGCATCCCCCTGCCCATCCAGACCTTCCTGTGGCGGCAAACCAGGTGAGGGGCGCAGAGGGCGCGCCGCGGGCCACCCTGGGCTGGGGACGCTCCTGGGGCCGCCTGGGTCACCGCCGCCGCCGCTGCCGCCACTGCTGCTGAGGCCGCGCCACAGCCTGCAGCTCCCTCTCTGGGGCTGGAAAGCAAGCCCTCTGCACCTGCTTAAAAACACGCATTTAAAAAATATTTCCGTGAAGTTTGGCGACAAGCAGATTGGCAGTTGAATAAATATATACATTATTTAGGGGGTGGGAGGGCAGAAAGCCTAGGAAGAGGGGGCGGGGAACTAGGGAAGATCATTATGACTGGTTGTGCTCTTGCGTCCAATTTCCCCTCCATCTCCTGCTTTAATTCCAGGCCGGTGACCTGTTGTTTTTCCAGCTCCTGTTTGGCGAATATCAGCTATGCCCACTTGTTAACCATTTTTGCTCGGATTCAGCCACTGTAGTCTTCCTGGTTCAAGACCCTGAGGAGGATGATTTTTTATAAGCATTTTTTTTTTTCCTGGAAAGACCTCTGAAACCTATTCTAATAAACAAGAAACAAGGTTTCCATTATTATTATTATTATTATTATTATTTATTATTATTATTATTTTAGAAATTTATCAGATAAAAAATTAGGTTCTGGAAATCACACCCCACAAACTGTTCATTTTTAGTTTTTAATATAATTATACACATGAGCAAGACACCACTCCTGACCATTGGCAATTTGGAATCTGATTAGGGAAAAGTCCTCAGAATAAGAGTGGATACAGAAAATGTGGAGAGCCACATCTCTTTCATACATGTAACTACACATGTAAAAGCAAATGTCATCAGCTGTTCAACACCTGCTCATTAACAAGCTATAGGGAGGCATGAAATTTGAGTTATATAGCGCTGTGTCTTATCCGTTGAAAAATATGTCATAAAGATGCTAATAATTTTATTATAACCACTATCTCTATTAATTTTTCAGTGCATTTTTGAGGCCTAAACTGGGAAAGCAGTATGAAGCCTCATGTGTGGTATGTGATATTCACTATTTAATGATTATTTCCATGTTCTGTGTGGTCATTTCAACCCAAAGAAAGGCATGAAATTGTACTGACTGTATAGATTAATTCGCTCAGCAAATATTATTGAACACCTACTAGTGCTAGGCATAGTTCTAAATGATGGGATAGAGCAATAATCAAAATACAGAGTTTGCATTCTAGTGGGAGGAAGCCAAGCCACTCACAAATAAGTAAAATACATAATAAGGCAGATAGTGATAAGCACTATGGAGAAAAACGAAGCAAAAAAGACTGGGGACACTGGCAACTGGGGGGGCGGGCGTAGGAGTGGATTCCATGTTAAGAGCAGTGGATAGGTAAGGTTTACCTGCTAATGTGACTGTTAGAGAAAACTGTGACAAGTGGGAGGGAGGAATAGGTAAGGAAACAGCAAAGGGGAGCAGCAAGTCTAAAGCATCTTATCTCCAAGTGAATAGAAGTAGAGCAGTAGAAGAAAGGGTGGAGAGATTACAGAGAACCAGGTGGTGAAGAGCCTTGCAGGACAAGTATAAGAAGTCCATTCCTTCATCAACAAAATTGAGACTGTTATGGTGGAAGGTAAAGAGATGAGGGCCCATGAACTACTCAAAGTCATATACAGTTTTGAACTTATATGTCTTGCATGTTTTGTGCAAGTCTGAAAATAGATGATATAAAATAATTATGAAAATAAGCTATTAATATGTATACTCTATAGAGTGCACTTGTCCTGAGATTCTAAGGGAATCCCATATCCTTAAAAATGTCCAAATCACAAATTGAAAGCAAAAGACATGAAATCATGAAGCAAAAATGAAATGAAATTTTCATAGATTTCATTAAAACAGGAGCTCAAATAAAGACCTTCACATTTCACATATCATAACCTAAAAGGGGAAACCTACCCATTTAGGCATTGCCATGAAAATTTGCAAATGACTACATAGTAAGGAGTTCTGAAATGTGTTAGGGCCCTTAAAAACGATGAAAGCCAATTAGAGAGTTTTAAACAAGCACACAGGTACACACACTCAAATAGGAATTTGTTTTGTTGTATCTCTTGCCCTTCAAAGTTGCCGCAGAGATATTTTTAAAATATAATCTTTTAATAAGGACCTTTAAATGGAATTTGTTGTTGTATTTAGCTCGTTAGAGTAATTTGACAGTTAAGAAATCACTGAGCCTTCCATAAATCATGCTTACAATTATACTAGCTTAAAATAATCCTGACTTTTCCCTGTTCTTGGCAAAGATCTGGCATTTTTAATATAGTCATACAGTATCAAACAACTAAGTCACAGATAGATAGAGAAATAAAAATGCAGAAAGCAGTTTTCAGGGTTTAAAAAATAAGAGTTATATTGGCAACATTTAAGAAGAAAATGACATTAAGTACCCAGAGTGCCCTAATATTATAATATATACATCTCATCCTCTAAAATGTATTCAATAAGACTGTGTAAATTCTTTATCATCTTTTAATGCCCCACATACTCACGCTTTACTTAATGAATATTTAGATACCTGAGGACTGAAGAACTTAAAAGCATTTGGATCTTACCTTATTCAGTTAAAAAAACAACAACAACAAAAAACCCATATCTCTGTTTATACTCCTTACCAAAACCTCATCATGCTTTTCCTTATGAAGGTGAATTTCTTATTTTCCTTTTTTGAGTCAAAAAGTAATTCATTTTCTTCAGAGAATCTCTGTATTAATCCATGTCTTTTTCTCTGGTATCCTAATAATATCAATAATACAGCTTGAATATTTGGAACCTGTATTATGATCACTCTATAGCATACTGCCACAGTTTTCCTGATTACATAGGGCATCAAGTAGCAATCGGGTTCAATTCATACAAGTCAAATATTTATTAAATTTATTTTAATACTTGGAATCTATACTTTCCTTAACCCCTTATAGTGATATCCCCCTCCCCATTCAAATAACAACAACAACAACAACAACAACTGGGAGTAGGTCACATTTGTCCTGGGATGTTTCACTCTCTGAAAGTATCCCTGGCCAAGAGAGAAGATTTAATAAACCAGCAAAGCTATGGCTTATTTCCCTTCATTCTCCTCTCCCTTCCTTCCTTTCTTTCTTCAACAGGTATAAGAAGTATCTTTATGGTTACAGGCCTTAGGCAAGAAATGCCTTGTGTCATGTTATTGCTAAGGACATGAAATAATTCAGAGACCCTCCCCAAATCAGATTTCTTGAAAGAGTTGTATCTTATTTACACTTGTTGAACATTGACACAAATTCCGTCCTCAAGATGCTTTCACAAAAGACAATTCACTTCGTTCTGCAATTGTAACAGCCCCTTTGGATGCCTCAGCAGCATTTTATAAAATATTATATGAGTTAAATATGGTGGTGTGCCTTTTTTTTAGAGGAAGCTAATTTTGGTGAAAATAAAAATCACTTAGTAATTCAAGTCCTATATTTTAAATCAAAAACCTAAAAATGGTTAAAAAGTAATGATCACTGACTCATTGTACGTTGACATGAAATGCAGTTTGAGTGCACTCTAAAAAATTTGATCCAGTGATTTGCATCTTGGTGTAGTACCTTGATCTCCAGTTTCTTGTCAGCCAGAATCTCCAATTCCTTATTTCACATGATTTTTTCTTCTTCTTTTTTGGTATCTACAGTCCTTTGAACGCGTGTTGGTGGAGAACAAGCTGCATGGCCTTTCTCCAGCGCTCTCTGAAGCCATCCAGAGCATTTCCAGATGGGAGCTGGTGCAAGCTGCTTTGCCTCACGTCCTCCACTGCACTGCAACACTGCTTTCAAACAGGAACAAGTTAGGTTGGTTCTTCCGCATTCCTTCTTCATGGCATACAATCATCAGCACTCGTGCTGACATTTACTGGCTACTTGCTCTTTTCCCAGGCACCGAACATATATGATGTCATTTAGTTCTCATAAAAGCCCCCTCACGTGGGTACCACTATGATCTCCATTTTACCAATGAAGGGACTGGCTCTCTTATTTTTAAATTTTAAATTTTACAAGTAATACATGAATATATTTTCCTTTTAAACATTAAAACATTACAGGGAAGCTGAAGACTATCACCCATCCAAGATGAGTTCCGATCCAATTTCTCTTTGGCCCTCTCAACTCCTAAAGCGACCCCTTGCACTTTATAGTCCATGTGTACGTGCATGCGTTGTGCATAGAGACTCTTCTTTTTTAGATTATCTTGTGGATTGCTTTTCTCACGTGGTAACATGTCCTAACATCCACCCCATGTTCGCACACAAGCTGTTTTCCCTCCAGTTCTTTCCCCTTATTTGGGTCTCTGCACAAATGTTACCTTTACCGAGGGGTTTCTTGGTCACCCTGTCTAACGTAAAGTAGTTGCTATCTTCAGAGCCTGGGTTCTTAACCACTACACTGCCTATTTGGAGATAGATATGGATATCAGACTGAAGAGATAGGATGCATGCAGTTTCTCCTCCTATGACACTATGTTATTCTGCAAAGATTATAACCAGTTAGAAAGCCCCAAAACAAAAATGAGCCCTTCCAGGGATGCCTGGGTGGCTCAGTCAGTGAAGCATCTGCCTTCGGCTCAGGTCATGATCCCAAGGTCCTGGGATCAAGCCCTGAGTCAGGCTCCATGCTCAGCGGCGAGTCTGCTTCTCCCTCTCCCTCTGTGATCTCTCACTCTCTCTCAAATAAATAAATAAATAAATCTTAAGGGGGGGGGAAAGAATGAGCCCTTCCAGCTGTGGTTGTAAGAAATATAGAGAAATGCTAGTGTATTCCAGGAAATCAAGCCACAGAGCAATGCAAGGATGTTCTTCCCACACCCAGAGTTGATATCCACTGTTCTGGTAGCAGAGTTTGTCTTAACTTGGCTGTGTGATTGTCCCCATGCAGGCCACCAGGATAAACTGGGTGTTGCTGAGACAAAGCTCCTTCACACCCTGCATTGGATGCTTCTAGAGGCTCCCCAGGACTGCAACAGCGAGCGGTTTGGGGGCACAGACCGTGGCTCCAGCTGGGGTGGCAGCAGCAGTGCTTTCATCCACCAGGTAGAAAACCAGGGTTCCCCAGTGCAGCCTTGCCAGAGCAGCTCCAACGATGAAGACGAGAACAACCGAAGGAAGATCTTCCAGAACTCCATGGCCACCGTGGAGCTCTTTGTGTTTCTGTTTGCTCCTCTGGTACACAGGATCAAGGTAAGGAGAGGGCTAGTATTCAGCTGAGGGGGGATGGAGGTGATGTGAGCTTCAAATGGTATTTCCATATTTCCATATTTGGTTGTCCATGTCTTTATATGATCATGTGGCAAGCCAAGACATGGAGAGCTTAATTTCTATATCAAACCACTGAACATGATTTCAAAAATACAGTTCTCTGTGTATCATGTATCTACTTAAAAATCTTCAAAGGTTCTCCTGCCCGAAGATAATGCCCCACATATTAAACATGCATATAAGGTCAAGGAACTTTTAATTTATCATTTGCCATTCCCTCCTGACATCTTCATGATCCAGGTGTGGGAGCCATTCCCTGAATATATGCTTGCTGTTCACTCTGCCCACTTTCTTTTCTCTGTTCATCTGATGATTCTTCAAACCTCAACTTCAATGTCATTATTTCCATGAAGCTGTTCCTCTGAAACTCCCCATGTAGACTGAGTCACTATCTCCTTTGTATTTCTACAGCGCCTTGTAAGCTGTCTCTATTATGATGCAGGTCTGGAGCAGAGGTTCTAAATGTCTTCTATGCCGTGGACTTTTTGACAGTGTGGCACAAGCTGAGAATTTTTTTCAAAATATTTCTCAAAGCATAAAATACAAAACATAGGATTACATGGAAACCAGTTGTACCAAAATGTAATTATATACAAATACCCCTTGGGTCTGAAAGAGAATATCATTTGAAACTACTGTGCCACTACTCTCTAGCTGTGTGATCTTGGTGATATTACTTAACCTCTCCGATCCTCCACTGCATACAATTGTGGATACCTCTAACACAGGGTGAATATATGTGAAGACACAGTATAGTTCCAACACATGGAGAGAAATCAAGCCCTATTTGTTATTTCTGTGAATGAATAAATTACAGTATACCATCTGAATGCTAAGTTAAGAGATAAGAAGAAATTGGTATACTCAAGTGTTCTTTAATAGAATATTAGGATCCTAATGAATATTTCAAGTTATATATATGTATGTATGTATGTATGTATGTATGTATGTGAGTATGTGTACATACACATATGTAGGTGGTTGTGAGACCGTTAACAATCACTATAAGGAAAATGAACCAGTGAGTCTTTTCACTCGTTCTAGTTTTAGTTAAAATTCACTTTTGCTTGACACTGTCCCATTGCTGCCAGGAATAGAATTAAAATTACCTGTAAATTCCCAAATGCTTTGCATGCACTGGCCACATTGCCCATGAAACATACTAAAAATTTTAAATGTGAAATCAAATTAAATAGCTACTTTAAAATCTTTGATTTTCCATTTTAAAAAGTCTTTTATGATGGTTACACTTATTAAAAGCATTACTTTAATTGAGATCATCCCCTGGCTTATGGGACCAGTAGTCCAGGCTCCTACCCACCTTCTCGGCCCCATTTCCTGCCATAGCAATAGCCTTTCTGTCCTTCACTAACCTCCAAGTTCAGTGAGGCTCACCCTCAAACTCATTCTTACTTTCAAGTCCAGCACTGGTTTTCCTTCTGTTTGAAACATCAACCTCTACCTCCTCCCCTAAATTTTCTTTTTTTTTTTTTTAAAGATTTTATTTATTTATTTGAGAGAGAGAATGAGATAGAGAGAGCATGAGAGGGGGGAGGGTCCGAGGGAGAAGCAGGCTCCCCGCTGAGCAGGGAGCCCAATGCGGGACTCGATCCAGGGACTCCAGGATCATGACCTGAGCCGAAAGCAGTCGCTTAACCAACTGAGCCACCCAGGCGCCCTCCCCTAAATTTTCATATGGCCATATCATCCTCATGAGTTTGCTCACAACTCACAATTCTCAGAAAGAATTTTCTTGGCAACTTCAGTGTCACTAACACAGGACCCCCCCCCCTTTGCACTTCTCAGTACCTGCAATTATTTTCTGTGGTTGTTTGCATGCTTGTTGCCCTTGACCCCCATAGAACAGAGTTCTTGAGCAAAGGGACATTGCCTGTCTAGGTCACACTGTATTTTCAGTGTCTAGAATAGTGTCTGGCAAAAATGGGATACTCGATTAATATTTAATAAGTGACTCATTGAGTAAACCCAAGTTATTATCAGAAGCTGATCTAGGTGCTAAGAGTAGTGATTATATGTAGGTACATAGTCCTTAAAATGGAGAGGACAGGAAAGAAGCCTTCTTTAATAATGATCCCATAAAGATGTCTATCTGTGGACAAATACCCTCTTGATTAAAAAATGTGGAAGTGCAGAAGTGACTGGAATGGCTGTAATTTTATTTGAAGACATGGCTGAGAGTTCAAATTTTGGAAATAGGCCTGCATTTGAATCACACGCTTGTTGCTTCTTACTAAATGACTTAGAGCAAGCCTCAGTTTCCCTCAAGTATAAATTGGACATAAGAATAGTTTTATGGGACATTGTGATGAAACATATGATAGTACTCAACATTACACATAAAAGGGCCTTAATAAATATGTGTTGCTTTTAGTGTTGGCATTTTTTCGCTATTGGTATTTTGTATTATTAATGAAAAGGAAGCCAGATTCTCTTTCAGGGGAGACTATACAGACAGTTTCTGGCTCAAGACCCTCCAGTTTTACTTATGGCCTGGAGCATTTATGAGGGAGTAAAACAATGCATATAAAACACGGTACAGTAATTAAATCATAATAAACTATTATTATTAGCTGTTATTACTAGCATATTATTATTTCATCAATTTATTATCTCTATGAAGGAAATATTGTTCCCAATGCTATAGGGAATAAAAAATATTAATGAGTCAATAAATTTCTCCAAAAGGCTTTTTCCTTCTGAGCGAGGTGTTTGCTTTTTTAAGGAATATACAATCCCTAGACCAGGGTTTCTCAGCCTTGGCACCGTTGGCATTTGGGGCCAGATTATTCTTTCTTGTGGGACATTGCCGTGTGCCATGTAGGATATCAGTAGCATTTCTGGCCCCTACTCACCAAATGCCAGGAACACCTCCTCCCTCTAAGTTGTGATGGCCACAAATGACTCCAGACATTGCCCGGTGTCCCCAGTGGGTGGGCAGGGGGTGAGAATTGCCCCTGATTGAGAATCACTGCCTTTGGTCTTTCATTGGCCTGCTGGTTATCAGACCCTCTTGATCTCCACCTTTCTATCCATACCATACCCATGTGAACTGCTCCTCGCCAGCACCATCAATGTCCTTTTTCCCTATCCTTCCTTTGCATTTGCCCTTCAAAATTCCAACCCCAGGTCATGACCAAAATCCATTTTTTCTACCCCTGACCCAGACACCTGCATGCTCCTGGGGGAAAACCACACAATCATCCAGACTGGTGTTTCTACAAAGTTGTCATCTCCAGCCCCTGTTTGCTGCCCCACTTGGCATTCCTTTTCTTGACGTTACTCCCTCAATTTGCCAATCAGCACTTACACAGACAGTGTTATAGTTTCTTATAGGACATGGTGCTGCAGGAGACGTGGGAGGCTGAAATCCAGGTGAGGCCACTTTTGAACTGGATTCACAGTCTCCTGGCTTGTCTCATAAAATCCAACTTCAACACTAAAGGGATCTATGTAGATCTGACCATATCACCAACATGCTTAAAGTAATTTGTTGATTTCTCATTATACAGCAAGTAAAACTCCAACTCATTAGTGTAGTAACTGGGCCTTCTGGTTACTTCTCCTGCCTCTGAGCTCCAAGTGCTTGGAGTCTCCCCAGGAATGTAACGTGCTTTTTTCCAGGCCTATTCTCATACTGGTCCTGCCACCTAGAATGCTCTCATGCCCTCCCCTCCTGCCTGGGAAACTCCTCCTCATCTTTCACAACTACATTCAAGATCCATCCCTCTCTTCCTCTAGCTTTATAATATTCTAGACAGATTTTTATTGTTATTTCTAGTTTATTATCATTATTTCTTTATGTGTCAATCTCTCCTATTAGATTCTGAATGGTTTGAGGGTGGGAAGTTATCATTGTATTCTGGATACCTAACATAGTATCTCAAATTCATAGGTATTTAATCAATATTTGTTGAATGAATTCACTCATTAATTAGCAAATTAATATAAATGACTCATCTTTTTGTAAGACAGTGTATAATTCAATGCACATTTTTCTATTTTAATTAAGTTCTTATTTTAATTCCAGTATGGTTAACATACAGTGTTATATTGATTTCAGACATGCAATAGAAGGATTCAACAATTCCATACATCACCCAGTACTCATCACGGCAAGTGCACCCCTTCATCCCTATCACCTATTTCACCATCCCCTAAGCACCCCTCCCCCCCACCTCCCCTCTGCCATCAGTTTGTTCTCTATAGTTAAGAGTCTGTTTCTTGGTTTGTCTCATCCTCTCTCTTTTTCTTTGCTCATTTATTTTGTTTCTTAAATTTCACATGAGTGAAATCATATATTTGTCTCTGACTTATTTCACTTGGCATTGTATTCTCTAGCTCCATCCATGTCATTGCAAATGGCAAGATTCCACTCTTTTTTATGGCCGAGTAATGTTCCATTGTGTATCTATATACGACATCTTCTTTATCCCCTCAACTATTGATGGACACTTGGGCTGCTTCCATAATCTGGCTATTGTAAATAATACTGCAAAAAATATAGAGGCACATGTATCCCTTTGATTGATTGATTGATTGATTGGGTAAATACCCAGTAGTGTGATTACTGGATCATAGGGTAGTTCTAGTTTTAACGTTTTGAGGAACCTCCATACTGTTTTCCACAGTGGCTACAAGTTTACATTCCCACCAGCAGTGTGAGAGGGTTCCTGTTTCTTCACATCCTTACCAACACTTGTTGTTTCTTGTGTTTTTGATTTTAGCCATTCTGACAGATGTGAGGTGATATCTCATTGTGGTTTTGATTTGCATTTCCCTGGTGGTGAGTGAGCTTGAGCATCTTTTCATGTATTTGTTGGCCTTCTGTATGTCTTCTTTGGAGAAATGTCTATTCATGTCTTCTGCTGTTTTTTAATTGGATTACTTTTTCTTGGGGTGTTGAGTTTTATAAGTTCTTTATATGTTTTGGATACTAACCCTTTATCCGATATGTCATTTGCAAATATCTTCTCCCATTCAGTAGGTTGCCTTTTAATTTTGTTGATTGTTTCCTTCACTGTGTAGAAGCTTTTTATTTTGATGTAGTTCCAATAGTTTACTTTTGCTTTTACTTCCTTTGCCTCAGGAGGCATATCTAGAAAAATGTTGCTATGGCTAATAACAGAGACATTACTGCCTATGCTCTCTTCTAGGATTTTTATGGTTTCAGGTCCTTAATCCGTTTTGGTCCTTAGCCCATTTGAGTTTATTTTTGTGTATGATGTAAGAAAGTGGTCCAGTTTCATTCTTCAGCATGTTGCTGTCCAGTTTTCCCAACACCATTTGTTGAAGAGACCGTCTTTTTCCCATCGCATGTTCTTTCTTCCTTTGTTGAAGATTAATTGACCTTATAATTGTGGGTTTAATTCTGGGTTTTCTGTACTGTTCCATTAATCTATGTGTCTGTTTTTGTGCCAGTACCATACTGTTTTGATTACAATAGCTTTGTATTATAACTTGAAATCTGGGATTGTGTTACCTCCAGCTTTGTTTTTCTTCTTCACAATTGCTTTGGTGCCTCAGGGTCTTCTGTGGTCCATACAAACTTTAAGATTGTTTGTTCCAGGTCTGTGAAAAATGCTGTTGGTATTATCATAGGGATTGTATTACATCTGTAGATTGCTTTGGACACTATAGACATTTTAACAATATTTGTTCTACTAATCCATGAGCATGGAATGTCTTTCCATTTCTTTGTATCGTCTTCAGTTTCTTTCATCAGTGTTTTATAGTTTTCAGAGTACTGGTTTTTTACTTCTTTGGTTAAGTTTATTCCTAGGTACTTTATTAGTTTGGGTGCAATTATAAATGGGATTGTTTTCTTAATTTTTCTTTCTGCTCCTTCATTATCTGTATATAGAAATACAACAGATTTCTGTACATTGATTCTGTGATTTTAATTTATAGCTGCCTTAAGCCTGTCACATGAAATAAATCTAAAAAATTCTGTCAAATATATTATTTTCAACTAAATTTAATTTAGTGAAAAATGCTGAGTATTTATTATAACTAAGGAATTTAAGTGTAATGTCATGATTTGATCATATTCACTTATTCCTTCAATAAATATTTATTGAGGGCCTAGTCTCTGAGAGGCACTACTCAGAGTGCTAGAGAAATAGCAAGGAATAAAAATCCAAGCCCTCAAGGAGGTTTTTATAAAATCCATATGTGTGAAGTAAACAACTCTAAAATTCAAAATAACAATAATTTTTAAACTCAATTTCTCTAAATTACTAGTAAACATATTTAGAATTATTTCATGCCATCATGGAAACAGGCATTCAGTGAAAACAAGAAAGGCATCTGAAATGTGGAGATATTGATTCTACTAGTGTCTGTGTCTTCTGGTTTTTCTAAGGACCTCACTAGACCACCTGCCCCACAGCTGTTTCAATGATAGTGTCTCTTCTAGTTATCAACATTCTGGCCATGTGGGCATACATGGCATTAGATGACCCACTAAAGGGGACTCCAGAAGAGGAATTAGGGTCCCAGAGCTTATGCATTCATCCAACTTAAAAAAGAACTTACAAAGGAACATAGCAACGTAAGAGGAGGCCATACCTTCTGCAAGTGTTCAAGTCTAAAGAATGATTTGATTTAGTTGGTGTTACTTGTGAAATGTAAACTATCTTTAATTAATCAGCAAGTCTGTATTGATGCTCAAGGGGAAATGCATAGAAGGAGATCTCAATTTGTCTCCAATAAATATAGAATCTAGTTGGAAATATATCAAAGAAAACAAAATAATAAGTCTCAGTGAGTGCTAACATCGATAAGGCCAGTGTTAAAGGCCCAGGTTTCAGTATAAGAGAGCTTACCTTTGGAAGCAGTGTCCACTAGAGTTTTATTTGTGCCAAGATTACTTATGAGGAACATGGAAAAGGACACTGAGCTCAGAAGCTATGAAATCATCAAAACCAGGTCAATTGAGATTTGGCTTCCTGCATTTCTGGAGACAAATCTGATAAACTTTGCTTGCTGTTAATCCCCTGCTTGCTGGATCTAACACCACACATAATACTATGTTCCATTAACTTTAAACCTTCCTGTCAAACTGTTTACTCAGTATCTTTAGTTGAATGTCTAACAGGCATCTCAAACTTAACATGTCTGTAACTAAGCTCCTGATATCCCCACACCTGCTCCTCTTCATCTTGCCTATCTTTATCAAAGCCAAAAATCTTTGACACCTCTTTCTCACACCTTCCACTTCCAGTCTGTAGACTGTGTGTTCAAAATGTATCCAGAATCTACCACTGCTCATTTCGCCCTCTACGAACTCTCTCCTGTAATCATCTTCCACCTAGATGATATTAGCTCCCCAAACCGTCTCTCCACTTTTGCCCTTTCTTGAACTATTATTAATAGCTTCAGTAATCCTATCAAACATACATCCAGTAATGTCACGCCACTACTCAGAACCCTCTGGTGGCTCCCCGTCTTACTCAGTAATTGCGGAAGCCCTTACTATGACCTATCAGGCCCTATATTATTTGGAACTCAATAACTTCTCTGACCTTATTTTTTTCTTCTACTCTTCTGCCATTTACTTGACTCCAGACACACAGTCTCCTGACTGTTTCTTGATAGACCAGGCATATTTAGGACCTTTGCACTTGCTGATCCCTTCTCATGGAAGGTTTTTTTCTGAAAATATCTACATGGCAGCTCCTTAATTTCATTCAGATTTTTTTTACTCAAAAGACACTTCACAACAAAGACTTCCTTGGCCATTCTGTCTAAAATACCAACACCTTGCAGGCACATCCCTTTGCCTGCTTTACTTCTCTTTTTGCACCTAGGAGAGCAGGGATTTTTGTAAGCTCTGTTCACTATTCTAGCCCAGAATCTAGAGTAGTACCAGGTATACACTAGGTGGTCTATAAATATTTGTAGAATGAATATTGACAGAATTTGACCAAGTGCTTTATGTACTTTCTTAATACCTCCACAGGGAGTCCTAGATGCTTTCCCATCATGGGCACTGTTGTAGCTCCGGGATCCCAGTCCATACCTTACAGAAGAAACCTCTCTGTATCAATGTGTGGATTTCACCAGCCTTTCCAGCTGACACTGAACCACAATGATTCACCATTTGCAGGATCACTTTTCTTTTTTTCCAATTTCTTCCTACTTCTTATTCTTCTAGATTAGTGGTTTTCAACCATGACTACACATGAAAGTCAGCAGAGAACTTCAGAGTGATTCTAATGTAATCGGTCTGGGCAAGGGAGGAAGTTGAGACCTGGGCCTCCTATGTTTTAAAAGCTCTCTAGGTGATTATAATATGCAAGCTAGGTTTGCAAATCCCTGCCCTGAGTGAATTCCTGGGTCTCAGTTGTGTTCATTAATCTGCGATAACATTCTCTGCTTCCATCTTTTATTTTTTTTTTTTTTGAGAGTCTGAGTTGTTTAATTTATTTCTTTTCTTTTTTTAATTCCAGTTTGTGGCTGAGTTGTTTAAAATGTAATCTCAGAATGTCATATATTTGTACTTACACAATATGAGATTGAATTTTAAACATCTCAGCCTCTCAAAATGATGTAATAAGGAAGCGGAAAATGTGCTCCTTGGAAGAGACTTTAAATTATAGATAAACTGAGTGAGTATGGGTTGTAAGGTTAGTGCAATTCAGCAAGTGCTTGTTGAGCTCCTATTGTACACCCAATTTCTAATGCTGTGTTAAGCATTGTGATGATGTCAGGTGTTGTGGAAGGGGTGCCTTCCTGATGCCTGATGCCTGATAGACCATCAAGGAATTAAAGATTATTAAGAAGGTAACATTACAAAACAATATACTAGAAGGGTCTATATATATGTTCCTGATTCCATGAAATGCAAAAAAAAGAGATATGTTAAAAAAAAAAAAGAAGAAGATAGCAGGAAGGGAAAAATGAAGGGGAGGAAATCGGAGGGGGAGATGAACCATGAGAGACTATGGACTCTGAGAAACAAACTGAGGGTTCTAGAGGGGAGGGGGTGGGGGGATGGGTTAGCCTGGTGATGGGTATTAAAAAGGGCATGTTCTGCATGGAGCACTGGGTGTTATGCACAAACAATGAACCATGGAATAAAAACTAATGATGTAATGTATGATGACTAACATAACATAATAAAAAAAAAACAAGAGATGGCCTAGAGAATACAAAGTCAAAATAGCCAGCATCTGAGGATATTGATTTAAGAGGGAGAAAGAAGGACAATTAAATAATTAAGAGGAATAATAATGACAACCACAAGAGATCTGCCAAGACTCTTGAAATAAACAGGCCTTGATCACTGCTAACACAAAACAACAATTTGTGTTTCATGCTTTGTCCAAAGCTCCATTTTAATTATTCATTTTGCCAAAAGCAGACCACCATGGTTTCCATGGTAATTGTAATGATAACTTAGGGCTACTGGTTTGCCCTAGAAACACTCATCTGAGTGATGAGAGAAGGTCTAGAAGATCAACCTACTTTGACAATAATCTTGTGAATGATACTAATCATTGCGATGACTGGCCCCTTCAACCAGTTATAAGCCAGTTATTGGACATAAATCTTCTCTTCCCCCAGGAATCTGACCTTACGTTCCGACTGGCCAGCGGGCTTGTTATATGGCAGCCCATGTGGGAGCACAGACAGCCCGAGGTCTCTGGCTTCACAGCACTGGTGAAGCCCATCAGGAACATCATTACAGGTTCGTAATTTGGACACCTGCTGGGACAGTGTTAGCAGACTCTCTCATATGCAGAAGTAAGGGTGATGGAATGATTTGCCCTTAAGAAACCAAGAGGAAGAAAATTTCTCCGGGGAGCTATGTTAGTGCCCCAGGCACAGGGCTCATTCACATGATGAGAAACTAAGCCAGGGTTGGGCGCCTGGGTGGCTCAGTTGGTTGAGCGACTGCCTTCGGCTCAGGTCAAGATCCTGGAGTCCCAGGATCGAGTCCCGCATTGGGCTCCCTGCTCGGCAGGGAGTCTGCTTCTCCCTCTGACCCTCCTCCCTCTCACGCTCTCTGTCTCTCATTGTCTCTCTCTCAAATAAATAAATAAAATCTTTAAAAAAAAAGAAACTAAGCCAGGGTCACATGCCATTGAGTTGTGTGACTTTGGAGAAGTCATTTCAATTACCTGTGCCTCAGTTTCCTCATGTGTAAAACAGGAGTTAAACTTATGGGTTGTTATGAAGAATAAATGAATTAATTATATATAAAATTGTTTAGAAGAATGCCAGGTACATAGTAAGTGAATAAGCTATTATTATAATTATATCATCATAATCATCATTACAGGAAACAAAGTAACAGCTCCTTAACAACCTTGTCTTGGTGTTTATTTGCTATCAAAGCATTTCACTATAGGAATTGTCTAATGAAATAATCTTATTGGTGAACTGTAGAAAGACTAACACATGACAGCTTGAAAAGTACCTGAAAGGCTCATGCTTCACTCCAGATCTATCTCTTACTACGTATGTACCCAACCTGAGTGTTCCTATTTCTTTAAAAGGGAGAAAATAATACCACCTTATATGGCCTCATAGTGTGGAATAAGTAAGAATCCACATAAGGTACCTATTTTATAGCTTAATAAATTCCATCTTTCTATTTCCAACCAAACTTTTAGCATTGATAATAACATTTAGAAAGAAATAAATTATGTGGTACATCTATAGATGCATGAGATATATATGTATAACTATCATTTGCTTACTTCCTAAGATTTTTCTGCAGACAGTGGAAGATTATGCATGTAAAAGAGTTTTGTTAGGGGAAGGAAATCATCAAGAAGTTCTTATCTATTTTCCCCCTATAATTTAACATACCTTTGCAAGGTACTTAATATGTTAAAGGATTTTCTAAACAAAAGAGTGCCATATTATTCATATGTGTGATAAGATGCTTACAGTGACAATCATGCTTATTATTGTAATTCAAACAAAAGATGCAATTTTTCATATGTAAAAGTAGACCAATTAGAGAATTAATGTGTACAATACATTAACTAGTGAAATAAGTTATATATTCAAGAGTAACTTTGTCTGTCATAAGGTTCAAATAGCAAGGGACTAAATAAATAAAAATGTCATAGCCAGAGGTGATCTACTTCAGATTCTGTGGATGGAATGAGGTTAATTTCAATGAATTAAAACCATCTGAGAGTGAAGATGGATGTACAAGGTTAAAAGATTGAAAACAATAGAAATAAGAAAATAAAATATGTTACAGTAAAACAAAACTATTACTGAAAAAGACATCTTTATATTGATTAAGGAATTTTTTCATATTTTAAAGTCATCACTTTTGAATAAAGAGGTCACTTCACATTTAGGTCTCTCTCTCTGTCTCTCTCCCATTAATACGTAAACTATCATTTAACAGATGTATTAAAACTATTAAGAAATCGTGTCCCTCATGAATCACTGGGGCTGTTCACATCACCATCCCTTGTTTCTGGATGATACAGTGGATTCTTTTCCCCTCTACCTGATGCCTGTGGATATGAAATGATGCCCAAGATCTGAAGTGAAATTAAACTCAGCTCAGACACATGGCCAGAAGAAAAAGCAGTGGCACGTGGGTGACACTCCCTGGGTCTCTTGTTTTGTGACCTCGGTCAATCCCTTTCTCAGCATCAGTTTGCTCACAGTTCCCATGTGGCATGGCCAGCTTCACTTCCCACTATTTCCCAATCCTCAGTAAAAGATGTAACTGATTTGATTCTTGCCATAGGAGAAGCTTAATGTGGTCATAAAAGCACAGACCCTGGAGCCAGAAAGCCTGGGCTTGAACCTTCATGTGAGGGTCAAATGATCTTGGGCAAGTTAAACTCCCTGTGCCTTAGTGTCTTTATCTGTAAAATGGGTCTAATAGTATTCCATATGTTATAATAGGGTTATTGTAAGGGTTAAATGAGTTGAGACAGTAGTTCCCCTCCCCCTTATCTGTGGTTTCACTTTCTGCAGTTTCAATTCCCTGTGGTCCAAAAGCAGATGATTTAATCCTCCTTCTGACAAATTGTCAGAAGGTCAGTAATTAATACTGTGTCACAACACCTACGTCCTTGACCTCACTTCATCTCTTCACATAGGCATTTTATCATCTCACATCATTACAAGAAGGGTGAATACAGTACAATAAAGTATTTTGAAAGAAAGAGAAAGAAACCACATTCACATAACTTCTATTACAGTATATTATTGTAATCATTTGATTTTATTGGTGATTATTGTTAATCTCTTACTATGTGCAATTTATAAATTGAACTCTATCATAGGTGCGTATGTGTAGGAAGAAACAGTATATTTAGGGTTCAGTAGTATCCACAGTTTGAGGCATCCACTTGCAAGAGATCTCCAGCAGATAAGAGAGGAGTACTGTATACGTAAAATGCTTTAAAAAGGATGTGGCAGATACTTGGTACTATACAGTATTTTTATTTTTTTTTATTTTTAGTATTTTTATTTTTAGTATTGCCAACTTTTTAGCACCATAGCCTGTTGAGTCAGACTGAATAGATGAAGAAATCTTCATTGTTATGATAACCTAGAAATGCAAAGGTTTTTTAATTGGTTACTTGATTCCTCTTACAACATATGCTATTAAATGTCTTCTTTCCAGGTGATAATATATTAAAATTTTTTTTTAAAGAAGTGAACTGATAAAATAAAATGAGCTTATTTATCATAATCTTATAACATTTGTGATAGTATTTCTCCTGTCTTGGCAGCTAAGAGAAGCTCTCCTATCAACAGCCAAAGTCAAACCTGTGAATCACCAAATCAAGATGCAAGACATCGAGAGGTGAGTTTATTGTGATTGTGGGAAGAAAGGAGGTAGTCATTTCCTGGATGTAGTAGTGTGAAGGATAAGATGAGTTCTAGAATGATACTACTTGGTTTCAAAGCAAGTTCCTACTCCTGAATATAAATCTTTAAGTAGTCTCTGGTTTTCTATCTGTCAAGTATGGAAAATAATTTTATACACTTTCCCAGTGTGGGAGTGCTGAAACAGAAGCGTGTATGACTGTGCTTTATCTTTGTGGCAAGTGAGTAATCAGTGGTGCTTTATCTCAGTGGCAAGGGTGTAATCAGTGGTGCTTTATCTCAGTGGCCAGTGTGTGATCAGTAGTGCTCTATCTAATGTCTAGTGTGTAATCTGTAGTGCTTTACTTCAATGGCTAGTGTGTAACATTCGATAAGTGTTAGTTATCATTATTCCTCCCCCATTAGTTAAAGTGTCCTCTTGTTCTTAATTATTAAATCTCCTTAATATTCTTTAGGCAAGCCTAATCTAGCTAAGATAATGTTGCAGCAGGTGGGGAGGAAGGAGTAGAAAGGAGGCATTAGGTATAGTCCTATCCCTTAAGAAATCTAAAGTTTAATGATACATCAAGACAAATCCACATAAAACAGAATATGCATAATAAAAAAGAATATAATTCAGTGAAAAATGTTCATGCATTCTTTGGTTTGGAAAAGAAAGAAATGAAGGCCAGGGTAGTTCAAAGCCACATGGTTAGAGGATTGGGAAAAGATGGCAGAGGAGTAAGGGACCCTATTCCAACTGGTCCCCGGAATTGAGCTCGATATCTACCAGAGCACTCTGAGCACCCAAAGAACCAGCCTGAGATGTAAGAAGATCTGGATTTCTACAAACAGAATATTGTGGGCAGTTGGTTTCGAGGTACAAAGTGGGGAGCCATGATTCCATGGGCAGATATCAGAGGATAACGGCAGTGGGAAGGAGCCTGGCCATGGGGATCCTGCACCACTGGTGAGCGATAGCCTCCTGCGCTGGGGACGGACACAGACTCGAAGACTGGTAGCAGTGGGAAAGGACTTTAGCGCAGCCCCCCTGATAGAAACTGGAGCAGTAGGGGCCCCACATGTGAACTGGGGGTGGCTGGCGGTTTTAGAAGCACAAAGGGCAGAGACATGCCCCGACCTGGAGGCGAGGACTGGGAGCGCTGCGGAGGGGCGCACAACCCAGGATGCTACAGTTTATAACAGCATGGACAGAAACAGAAACAGTGTGGCCTGGAGAGCTCACTGAAAAACAGACTGTGGTCTCTCTGCTCTGAGGCAGAGGGTTGGAAACGGTCTCTTCTGCTCTGACTCTTGGAAGAGACATGGAAAGCCGCCAGGGAAAGCTGCCAGAGAACAAAAGCCCTAAAAAACCGGTTCCCACTAAGCCCATCCCCCACCACAGGGGGGCAGGGCAACTCTGCCCAAACAGGGTTGCCTGAGTAACATCACGGCAGGCCCCCCCCCAGAAGACAGGCTGGGAAAACAAGAGGCCAGCAACCCTAAGGTCCCTAGAAAACAGGTGCATCTTGCTTGGGTTGTGGTCAATAATTTGGATTCTATACATTCCCTCAACCACCCTTCAACAGAATGACTAGGAGGAGGAACACCCAAAATAGGAAAGACTCAGAGATTATGATTTATGCTGCAGATTTACAAATGGATGCAGATATAACCAAGATGTTGGAGATGGAATTCTGGCTAGCAATTGTGAAGACAATAGCTAGAATGGAGAAATCAATTAATGGCAACATAGAGTCTCTAAGGGCAGAAATGAAAGGTGAATTGGCAGAACTTAAAAATGCTATCAATGAGATCCAATCTAATCTAGATAATCTAACAGCTAGAGTAAGTGAGGCAGAAGAATGAATTAGTGACCTGGAATACAATTTAATAGATAAAAAGGGAAAAGAGGAGGCCAGGGAAAAACAACTCAGAATCCATGAAAATAGAATCAGAGAAATAAGTGACACCATGAAGCAGTCCAATGTCAGAATTATTGGAATCCTGGAGGGGGTGGAGAGAGAGAAAGGACTAGAAGATATATTTGAGCAAATCGTAGCTGAGAACTTCCCTAATCTGGGGAATGAAACAAACATTCACATCCTAGAGGCAGAGAGGACCCCTCCTAAGATCAAGGAAAACAGGCCAACACCCTTGCATGTAATAGTAAAACTTGCAAATCTTAGAACCAAGGAAACCATCTTAAGGGCAGTTAGGGGGAAGAGATTCCTTACGTACAGAGGGAGAAACATCAGAATAACGTCAGACCTATCCACAGAGACCTGGCAAGCCAGAAAGGCCTGGCAAGACATATTCAGGGTACTAAACGAGAAGAACATGCAGCCAAGAATACTTTACCTGGCAAGGCTGTCATTTAGAGTGGATGGAGAGATGCAGATCTTCCAAGACTGGCAGAAACTGAAAGAATATGTGACCACTAAGCCAGCCCTGCAAGAAATATTAAGGGGGGTTCTATAAAAGGAGAAAGACCCCAAGAGTGATATACAACAGAAATTTACAGGACAATCTATAAAAACAAGGTCTTCACAGGCAACATGATGACAATTAATTCATATCTTTCAATAATCACTCTCAACGTGAACGGCCTAAACACTCCCATAAAACAGCATAGGGTTGCAGATTGGATAAAAAGACAGGACCCATCCATATGCTGTCTACAAGAGACTCATTTTGAACCTAAAGATACATCCAGACTGAAAGTGAAGGGATGGAGATCCATCTTCCATGCCAGTGGACCTCAAAAGAAAGCTGGGGTAGCAATTCTTATATCAGACAAATTAGATTTTAAACTAAAGACTGTAGTTAGAGACACAGAAGGATACCATATCATTCTTAAAGGGTCTATCCAACAAGATCTAACAATTGTAAATATCTACACCCCCAACATGGGAGCAGCCATCTACATAAGCCAACAGTTAACCAAAATAAAGAGTCATATTGATAACAATACATTAATTGTAGGAGACCTTAATACTTCACTCTCAGCAATAGACAGATCATCTAAGCAGAAAATCAACAAAGAAACAAGACTTTTGAATGACACACTGGACCAGATGGACCTCATAGATATATACAGAACATTCCACCCTAAGACAACAGAATACTCATTCTTCTTGAGCGCACATGGAACTTTCTCCAGAATAGACCACATACTGGGTCACAAATGAGGACTCAACCAACACCAAAAAATTGAGATTATTCCCTGCATATTCTCAGACCATAGTGCTTTAAAACTGGAACTCAATCACAAGAAAAAATTTTGAAGAAATTCAAACACTTGGAAGTTAAAGACCACTCTGCTCAAGAATGTTTGGGTCAACCAAGAAATCAAAGAACTTAAACAATTCATGGAAACCAATGAGAACGAAAACACATTGGTCCAAATCCTATGGGATACTGCAAAGGCGGTCCTAAGGGGGAAACACATAGCCATCCAAGCCTCACTCAAAAAAACAGAAAAATCCCGAATTCACCAGCTAACTCTACACCTTAAAGAACTAGAGAAAGAGTAACAAATGATGCCTAAGCCATGCATTAGAAGAGAAATAATTAAGATTAAAGCAGAGATCAATGAATTAGAAACCAGAAACACAGTAGATCAGATCAATGAAACTAGAAGCTGGTTCTTTGAAAGAATTAATAAGATCAATAAACCAGACTTTGCCAAAAGAAAAGAGAGAGGACCCAAATTAATAAAATTATGAATGAAAGGGGAGAGATCACGACTAACACCAAGGAAATAGAAACAATTATTAGAAATTATTATCAACAACTATATGCCAATAAACTGAGCAATCTGGATGAAATGGATGCCTTCCTGGAAACCTATAAGCTGCCAAGACTGAAACAAGAAGAAATTGACAACCTGAATAGGCCAATAACTAGTAATGAGATTGAAGCAGTGAACAAAAAACCTCCCAAAAAACAAGAGTCCAGGGCCTGATGGATTCCCTGGGGAATTCTACCAAACATTCAAAGAAGAAATAATACCTATTCTGCTGAAGCTGTTTCAAAAAATAGAAACAGAAGGAAAGCTTCCAGACTCATTCTATGAGGCCAGCATTACCTTAATTCCCAAACCAGGCAAAGACCCCATCAAAAAGGAGAATTTCAGACCAATATCCCTGATGAATATGGATTCCAAAATCCTCAACAAAATCCTAGCTAATAGGATCCAACAATACATTAAAAGGATCATCCACCACGACCAGTGGGATTTATCCTGGGATGTAAGGGTGGTTCAACATTTGCAAATCAATCAATGTGATAGAACACATTAATAAGAGGAGAGAGAAGAACCATATGGTCCTCTCAATTGATGCAGAAAAAACATTTGACAAAATACAGCATCCTTTCCTGATTAAAACTCTTCAGAGTTTAGAGATAGAGGGAATATTCCTCAAATTCATAAAATCCATCTATGAAAAACCCACAGCAAATATCATCCTCAATGGGGAAAAGCTGAGAGCCTTTGCCTTAAGATCAGGAACACATCAAGGATGCCCACTCTTGCCACTATTGTTCAACATAGTACTAGAAGTCCTAGCAACAGCAATCAGACAACAAAAAGAAATAAAAGATATTCAAATTGGCAAAGAAGAAGTCAAACTCTCTCTTTTCACAGATGAAATGGTACTTTATTTGGAAAACCCAAAAGACTCCACCCCCAAATTACTAGAACTCGTACAGCAATTCAGTAATGTGGCAGGATACAAAATCAATGCACAGAAATCAGTTGCTTTCTTATACACTAACAATGCAACTGTAGAAAGAGAAATTAGAGAAACGATTCCATTTACAATAGCACCAAAAACCATAAGATACCTCAAAATAAACCTAACCAAAGAGGTAAAGAATCTATACTCTAGGAACTACAGAATGCTCATGAAAGAAATTGAAGAAGACACAAAAAGATGGAAAAACATTCCATGCTCATGGATTGGAAGAATAAACATTGTTAAAATGTCTATGCTACCCAGAGCAATCTATACCTTCAAATGCCATCCCGATCAAAATTCCAATGACATTTTTCAAAGTACTGGAACAAACAATCCTAAAATTTGTATGGAACCAGAAAAGACCCTGAATCACAAAGGAAATGTTGAAAAAGAAAAACAAAGCTGGGGGCATCACATTGCCTGATTTCAAGCTATATTACAAAGCTGTAATCACCAAGACAGCATGGTACTGGCACAAAAACAGACATATAGACCAATGGAACAGAATAGAGAGCCCAGATATGGACCCTCAACTCTATGGTCAAATAATCTTCGACAAAGCAGGAAAAAATATGCAATAGAAAAAGACCATCTCTTCAATAAATGGTGCTGGGAAAATTGGACAGCCACATGCAGAAGAATGAAACTCGACCATTCTCTAACACCATACACAAAGATAAACCCAAATTGGATGAAAGACCTCAATGTGAGACAGGAATCCATCCAAATCCTAGAGGAGAACATAGGCAGTAACCTCTTTGACATCACCCCCAGCAACTTCTTTCAAGATACATCTCCAAAAGCTAGTAAAACAAAAGCAAAAATGAACTTTTGGGACTTCATCAAGATAAAAAGCTTCTGCACAGCAAAGGAAACAGTCAACAAAACAAAGAAGCAACCCACAGAATGGGAGAAGATATTTGCAAATGACACTACAGATAAAGGGCTGGTATCCAAGATCTATAAAGAACTTCTCAAACTCAACACCCAAAAAACAAATAATAAAGTCAAAAAATGGGCAGAAGATATGAAAAAACACTTCTCTGAGGAAGACATACAGATGGCTAACAGACACATGAAAAAATATTCATCATCATTAGCCATCAGGGAAATTCAAATAAAAACCACATTGAGATACCACCTTACACCAGTTAGAATGGCAAAAATGGACAGGGAAAGAAACAACAAATGTTGGAGAGGTTGTGGAGAAAGGGGAACCCTCTTACACCATTGGTGGGATTGCAAGTTGGTACAGCCACTTTGGAAAACAGTGTGGAGGTTCCTCAAAAAATTAAAAATAGAGCTACCCTATGACCCAGCAATTGCACTCCTGGGTATTTACCCCAAAGACACAGATGTAGTGAAAAGAAGGGCCGTATGTACCCCAATGTTCACAGCAGCAATGGCTGCAATAGCCAAACTGCGGAAATAGCCAAGATGCCCTTCAACAGATGAATGGATAAAGAAGATGTGGTTCATATATACAATGGAATATTACTCAGCCATCAGAAAGGATGAATACCCAACTTTTACATCAACATGGATGGGACTGGAGGAGATTATGCTAAGTGAAATAAGCAGAGCAAGTCAATTATCATATGGTTTCACTTATTTGTGGAACATAAGGAATAGCATGGAGGACACTAGGAAAAGGAAGGGAAACATGAAGAGGGGGAAATAGGAGGGAGAGATGAACCATAAGAGACTATGGACTCTGAGAAACAAACAGGGTTCTAGAGGGCCGGGGGGTGCGGGGATTGGTTAGCCTGGTGATGGGTATTAAGGAGGGCACGTACTGCATGGAGCGATGGGTGTTATACGCAAACAATGGATTGTGGATCACCACATCAAAAACTAACGATGTATTGTATGGTGACTAACATAACATAATAAAATAAAATAAAATTTTAAAAAATATATGTATTTCTAGGTTTTCCAGATATACAATAAAAAAAAGCCACATGGTTATGTATACTGGCATTAATTTAGTATGTTTTTAGATGACCTACCTTCACTTCCAATTCCACACGTGCAAAATGCAATTTTCTGCTTTCCAGCAATATTGGATCCTCTTTCTAACCGATGCATTACTGTCAGCGGTGCCATCATCCTTTCTCCCCTAAAAACTGCAAATGTTGGAGTCCTATTATATCTACTGTTTCCTGAACATTTGCTGAGTACAGACACTGTGGTTTGTCTGCTATATTTTACCTATTCTAAGATATATATTTTTTTCACTTTTAACATATTTGAAGTCAGGCGTTTGATGATCTTTGGCCTCTTAAAACCTCCCTGCCTGGTAGCAGTATTGATAAGGTTGTCATTTTCATAAGGTTGCACAGCATGAATTTGTCATTTCCAGCATCTAACTTTGCAGAATCAGGATCAGTGACTTAGAAGAATATGTCAGAGGTAATAGTGGAGTACTCTTAAGAAATAACACTTTGAAGAAATAACATTTTTGACACAGAAAAAGTTACTCTATGGAAAAACATGTATCAAAAACTCTGATTTAAAATTTAGAAATTTCAAGAATACCTATACCAATTTATTTCACTTATATCATCCTTTTTACATATACACAGGATGAATATATAATCAAAAGCTATGCCTAAATAAGTCTAAGTAAGATAGTGCTTTTAATAAATATATTAGAAAAAGTCCTCCCTGGTAAGTTTTTTAGTTTAATTAACAGTTTTTTCTTAATTGAACATAAAATAATCGTGTCTTATAACTGATGACATATTAGAGACAACAAAATACGTATCCTATTTCATTCTTCTTCCTCATCTCAATTTGAGTTCTTGCTGAGTCATATTGTTTTATCTTGTTACGTTGCTCATATGTGTTCTTTATTCTCTGTGCCCGCTACTACCCTCTAAATCCAGGTCCTCATTACTAGATTGCAGCTAGAACCACCTAATTGGATTTTTCTACCTCTTGCCTCTCCTGCTTCACATAAATACCACTTAATAATGCCTGACTAATCTTCCTAATGCATCATTTATTTATTAACTCATCATTCCACAGAGGCTTATTATATGCAAGGTTGCCGTTCTTTCTTTATATCCCTTGCTCCCTACGAACCTATAGTGGATTTCTTTTACCATCACCTCCAGACCAAACTCTTCTCCCTGGTTCTCTGTGCCTTCTACCACCTAGCATCATTTTTCTTAAGTGACCTTGTTTACCCCTTCAATTAGTTAAGCACTGCTTCTCATATATAGAGCATGCTGCTTTAGCTTCTGGGTCTTTGCTCAATCTGTCTCCTTTATGTGGATTACTATCTTTCCTCTTCATTTCCTGTCTAAATTTTATCTTTCTTTTAAGGACCAATTAAGATCTCAACTCCCCCATGAACTCCTGTCCAGTCACTCTAAATCTGCACTGCCTCATATGGTAACCACGAGGCTCATGTGGCTCTTGAACACTTGAAATAAGGCTAGTTTGAATTGAGATGTGTTCTAAGTATCAAATGTACATCAAATTTTGACTACTTAGTATGAAAAAAACGTATCTTAATGATGATTTTTATATTGATTACATGTTGAAATAGTAATTTGGGGTTAAACAGAATATAATAGTAAAATTTCACCAATGTTTATTATTTTTAAAATTAGATATGTGTCTCATGTTTGTGGCTTGTATTATATTTCTATTGGGCGTGCTACTCTAACCTATATTCGTCTTAAACTTAACTGTAAGTTCTTGATTTCAAGGTTCAGATTCATCTAATACTTTTTTATCTCCCCAATTACCCAACATGAAGCACACATAGCATGCTCATGCTAAAGGATTCCCTGATCTAGTTCAGAGGACTTATTTTATGAAATTTCTAGCAGTGTATTTGTCTCTCTATGCATCATGGTTGGACAGTGCTTTCTTATTTTACATATGAAAATAGAAATTATGAGAACTATATGTTAAGGAAAAAAAAGAAGAAGAAGATAGCAGGAGGGGAAGAATGAAGGGGGGGAAATCAGAGGGGGAGACGAACCATGAGAGACGATGGACTCTGAAAAACAAATTGAGGGTTCTAGAGGGGAGGAGGGTGGGGGGATGGGTTAGCCTGGTGATGGGTATTAAAGAGGGCACGTTCTGCATGGAGCACTGGGTGTTATGCACAAACAATGAATCATGGAACACTACATCAAAAACTAATGATGTATGGTGATTAACATTACAATAAAAATTTTTTAAAAAAATTATGAGAACTAAAATACTATGATAAATGTTTGAGGGTCTTCATACATAAGTGAAGAATTTCATCTGTAATACCTATGGAAAGACAATGTCCTATTACCTGAGCAGAGTTGTACTTATTAGCTAAATGTCGTTAAAATAAGCTACTCTGTAAGAGAATGGCTGCATTTGTGCTTAACAAATCGAAATAAAGGTCATCGTCTCCAACTGGAAAAATGTATCCCATCCTCCTTTAATGAGTGACAGAAAGACCTGAAACTTGTGCTTCGATTCTCATTTTCTGGCTTCAGTTTGATCAGCTCTTACTAACCTGGTTTCCAGCTCAGGCCCTACTCAGCTCACCTCAGTATTGGCACATCTTTGATGAGTTGGTGGTTTGTAACTCTTCTACAGATCCTGGGTATGTGAGGTGAAAAAGAAAAGAATCAAGGGAAAAATGAAATAAAGTTTATGAAAGTATTTAGCTGAATGCTTATAATAATATACATGGTTCTCTAGAAGTCTTTTTCCATTCGCTCTTAGATGAAAGCAAAATCCCTTGGTCTATGACCTTGTAGTTAGCTGTGCTATAAAGAAAAATGTTCAATTAAAAAAAAAAAAGTATGTACTATGATGGCTAATTCTAGAGGATGTACCTGAAGGAAAAAGAAAGGAAGGAAGGAAGGAGGGGAGGAAGGAAGCAAGGAAGAAAGGAAGGAAGAAAGGAAGGAAGGAAGGAAGGAAGGAAGACTAATCTGTTATCTCTACCTCCAAAAGGGACTCCAGGTGGTCTGTGAAACTTTCCAGTCAGATCCCATGTCACCCAAGGCCACGATTTCAGGCTGCCACCGAGGAAACTCCTTCGATGGAAGTCTGTCCTCCCAGACTTCCCAGGAAAGAGGCCGATCGCATTCCAGGTACATAATTGCAATGTTAGGGAAAAAACATTTTTCCTTGGTCACTCAAAAGTTAAATATGCATTTTTAGCTACTTGTATAGCCTCTGTTCCTTAGAATGTGTCAGTGCATGATATGTGTATACATATTCTTGGTCATGGTATAGTTAGGTTAATAATTCCATGGGCGCCTGGGTGGCTCAGTTGGTTAAGCGACTGCCTTCGGCTCAGGTCATGATCCTGGAGTCCCGGGATCGAGTCCCGCATCGGGCTCCCTGCTCAGCAGGGAGTCTGCTTCTCCCTCTGACCCTCCCCCCTCTCATGTGCTCTCTCTCTCAAATAAATAAATAAAATCTTTAAAAAATAATAATAATTCCAGAAATGTGCTATGAATGGCTCTCATTTAAACAAACTTGGGTGGAAGTGGAAAGACCTATCTGATAATAAGATGTCTGCATTAGATGATATTTTAAATATTTAAATACAGAAATTCAAATTATGCTATCAAATATACTGCAGGGATGTGAAAAGATCTGCTAATCTATTGTGTAAGAATACTTTATATCAGCAGATCCTCATGTTAAAATGGGTGCTTTTAAAATACCCACAGGGAATTGAAAAGGTTGTTCTTTGTAAACATTACAACACTGCCCTTGTTAGCTTGTGTATGTGGTAAATTTGCTTCCAAATGCCTTCCCTTGGGACAGACATCAATCAGTCGTCTTCTTCCTGTCCCCCACTGAAATGATGGAAGCCTGAATTCATGAGGTTTGCTTTTGAACCCAACTAGATCCTACACTTAGCGGGCAGGAGTGCCTGAGACAATTTGTGTATCCCTATTTTCAGATGAGGTTACTATCTCTAATGCATAGTATTTTAAAAGGAGGCATTTCTTAAAAATGGATTTATTGAGGTATAATTTACATACCATAAAATTCACCTATTTGAAGTGGACAATTTAATGACTTTTAGCAAATTTATAGAATCATGCAACCATCATCACAGTCCAGTTTCAGAACATTTTGGTCATGCCAAAATGTCCCTTGTGCCCATTTCAGTCTCCCATTCCTACACCCTGCTCCAGATGATCACTTAATATATTTTCTGCCTATATAGTTGAATTTATGGAATTTTCAAAGAAGTGGACGCATGCCATATGTGGTCTTTTCCATCTGGCTTCTCTCACTTAGCATAATGCTGTGGAGGTCCATCCACATTACAGCATGTACAAGTAGTTCCTTCCTTTTTATTGCTAAAGAGTATTCTGTTGTGTGGGTATATCACACTGGAGTTCTCCATTTATCACTGGATGAATATTTGGGTTGTTTTGACTTTTCGTCTATCATGAATAATGCTGCTATGAGCATTCACATACAGGTTTTTGGGCAGGCATATGTTTTCAGTTCTGGTATCCTAAGTAGATACGTAGGAGTAAAATTGCTGGGTTGTATGGTAAATTTATGTTTAATTTTTTAAGAAACTGCCAAACTATTTTCCATAATGGCTCACCATTTCACATTCCCATCAGAAATGCAAAAGAGCTCATTGTTTCTCTCTCTACTTGGCAGCAATTGTTCCTGTCATTTTTACTATAGCCATCTTCATGGGTGTAAAGTAAGAGCTGATTGTAGTTTTAGTTCATATTTTCCCTATTGACTAATGATGTTAAGTACATTTTCAGGTGCTTATTAGCTATTTGAATATCTTCTGTGGTGAAATCTCTATTCAAACCTTTTGCCCAAGTGTTAACTGGATTGTTTGTGTCCTTATGATTGAGTTGTAGGAATTTTATATATATATATATTCTGGATACAAGTCCTTTATCCACAGATATATCCACAGATATTTCCTCTCAGTATTATCTTACCTTTTCATTTGGTAATTTTTAAATCATCGACTTCCTCCTGGCACCAGAACCAGGCTACATGGGTATAGCATTTTTTAACGAATTCTTAGAATTGTTGAAAGCATGAAGTTTTATGAATATAATTGCTTTTTAACCCAAATACTACTATGTTGTGCTTTAAAAAAAATAATATGCAAAGAGTTCATCTCTGTATCTTTATTTGGGACTTTAAAAGGAAGTGGCCCGGGCGCCTGGGTGGCTCAGTTGGTTAAGCAACTGCCTTCGGCTCAGGTCATGATCCTGGAGTCCTGGGATCGAGTCCCGCATCGGGCTTCCTGCTCGGCAGGGAGTCTGCTTCTCCCTCTGGCCCTCCCCCCCTCATGCTCTCTCTATCTCATTCTCTCTCTCAAATAAATAAATAAAATCTTTAAAAGGAAGTGGCCCAGTTACATGATCTTTTGCTGGTTGAGAATATGAATATTGACAGCAACGTTAGTTGTGTAAGCAGAGTTTGTTTGTATTTATCCATAGGATTTACCATTCTAGGTCATTGGTGGTAATGAGTACTTCAAATCTTGTCATTTTTAATGTGGAAGGAGCCCTGTGAAGATCACCAACTCAATCTGATGCACTAACAACATTTTCACCACTTAAACCCTTTCAGCAATGAGGAATTTAGTATTCTTGGATGAAGTTCATTTCATTTTTAGACAGCTCTTTTTAGTGTCATGTCCTTCTTATATTTTTTTTTTTTTAAGATTTTATTTATTTATTTGACAGAGAGAGAGAGCTAGAGAGGGAACACAAGCAGGGGGAGTGGGAGAGGGAGAAGCAGGCTTCCCGCCAAGCAGGGAGCCCGATGCGGGGCTCGATCCCAGGACCCTGGAATCATGACCTGAGCTGAAGGCAGGCGCTTAACAACTGAGCCACCCAGGCGCCCCTATATTTGTTTTTTTAATTTAAACTCAATTAGCCAACACATAGTACATCATTAGTTTCAGATGTAGTGTTCAACAATTTATCAGTTGTGTGTCCTTATATTTGACCAAATTTTGCTCTTCTGTATTTTCTGTCTATGATTTTTATATTAGTTTTCTACTGCTGTGTAACAAATTACAACAATTTACTGGCTTAAAACAACACACATTTATTATCTCACTCTTTCTGTATGTCAGAAATATAAACACAATTTAGCTGGCTTCTTTGCTTTAGGGTCAGACCAGGCTAAAATCCAGATGTCAGGATGGGCTGCAGTCTCATCAGGGGTTTGACTGAGGAAAGCTCCACATACAGGTGCCCTGAGGTTGTTGGCAGAAGACTGAGGTTCATGTTTTCCTGTTGGCTCTCGTCTGGGAGCTGCTCACAATTTCTAGGTGCTGCCCACAGTTCACTGCCATGCGGCCCTCTCCATAGTTACCTTACAACACAGCAGAGAAATTCTAATTCCAGTCTACTAATACAGAGACTTTATAATACAACATGATCACAGGAATTATATCTAATCACCTTTATGATATTTGTTGGTTGTAAGAAAGGCACAGGTCCTGCCTGCACTCAGGAGAGGATTATAGGGTATGTGATTACCATCAGATGGGAATGAGGGAAGGCTCCCTTAAGTCTGTTTACCACTGTCCTTTTGAAGTTGTACAGACTCTTCCCAGATTAACTTTCCATTTATTCAAAAGTAGCTATTGTGAAGGACGCCCCCCTCCACACACACTCCAAGACTTCCATTTTACTTGATGTCAATAGTAACTCACTAACAAAGTTATCAAGGGCATAATTAAATCAGATTTGGGGAAAAGGTATTTACTTTGGATACAGACTAAACAATAAGAACTACCTTTCATTGGATATCTTTTATATGCCAAAACAAAACTAGTGTCCTTACATTTATAATGTTATCTAAATGTTTATGCATTTATTTTTGTCTTTAAAAATTTTTTTATTGGGGCACCTGGGTGGCTCAGTTGGTTAAGAGTCTGCCTTCAGCTTAGGTCATGATCTTGGGGTCCTGGGATCAAGCCCCATGTTGGGCTCCCTGCTCAGCAGGAAGTCTGCTTCTTCCTCTCCCTCTTCCTCTGACCCTCCCCCTGCTCATGCTGTCTCTCTCTCTTGCTCACTCTCTCTCAAGTAAATAAAAATCTTTTAAAAAAATTTTATTGAAGTATAATTAACATACAGTGTTCTATTAGTTTTAGGCGTATAATGATTCAACAATTCTATACATTTCTCAGTGTTCAAGTTAAATGTATTCTTTTTTTTTTTTTAAGATTTTATTAATTTGCTAGAGAGAGAATGAGAGACAGAGAGCATGAGAGGGAGGAGGGTCAGAGGGAGAAGGAGACTCCCTGCTGAGCAGGGAACCTGATGTGGGACTCAATCCCGGGACTCCAGGATCATGACCTGAGCCGAAGGCTGTCGCTTAACCAACTGAGCCACCCAGGCGCCCTCAAGTTAAATGTATTCTTAATCTCCTTCACCTGTTTCATCCATCCCCCCACCTCCCTCCCCTCTGGCAACTACCAGTTATCTCTATTTAAGAGTCTGGCTTTTTGTCTTTTTTCTTTGTTCATTTGTTTTGTTTCTTAAACTCCAAATATGAGTGGAATACTCTATGGTATTTGTCTTTCTCTGATGGACTTACTTCATTATTCATATGCCAAGATTTCATTATTCTTCCTGGCTGAGTAATATTCCTGTGTGTGTGTGTGTGTGTGTGTGTATGCCATGTCTTCTTTATCCATTCATCCATCTATGGATGGATGCTTGGGTCACTTCTATATCTTTGTCATTGTAAATAATTCTGCAATAAACATAAGGGTGCATATATCTTTTCTAATTAGTGTTTTCATTTTCTTTGGGTAAATACCCAACATGGAATTATGGATTATGGATTATGGCAATTCTAGTTTTAATTTTTTGAGGAGCCTTCATACTGTTTTCCACAGTGGCTGTACCAATTGGCATTCCCACCAACAGACCGTGAGGGTTCTTTTCTCCCCCATATCCTTGCCAACACTTGTTATTTCTTATCTTTTTCATTTTAGCCATTCAGACAACTATAAAGTGATATCTCATTGTGGTTTTAATTTGCACTCCCCTGATGGTGAGTGACGTTGAGTATCTTTTCATGTGTTTGTTGGCCATCTGTATGTCACCTTTGGAAAAATATG